ATGTGGTTGTTACCTGTTTTTAAAGCTGAAGATTCATTCTGTTCACATACGTCTACAGCCTGGATAGTCTTTTGGAGAATGCTGACCTGAGGAAGCACAAAACGGCATAGAAGTAGCCTTCCTATAAATGTAATAGTTTACTTTTTAGCCTTGGCTCTACAGATCAAACACTACTGTAAGTTAAATTTGTCAAAATTGACATAACTTTGACAAATTTAAGGATGTCATGCATATGAGAGATCACATAGGCAAAGTAACAAACTGGATAAAACCCAGTGTTGATGATATAAATGAAAAATATAAAATAAAATTGCAGGGCTATTTAGCAATATATGCTTAAAAAAATCAACTCTTTGACAAGGACCTTTAGGAAAGTAGTGGAAGTATACATACCTATGTAGATATGCATAAAAATGCTCATGAGAAACTGTTCATAAAAGTGAAAAAATGAAAATAGTATACATGCCCATAAATATTTCTTTACGAATGGGGAAGGAGCTGAAGTATACATACCAAACTACTAATAATGGTTTATCCCTAGGGTATAGGATTATGAGAAACTTCAGTTTTATATGGTAGATTTCTGTACTCTGAGTGTTTGTTTTAATAAAGACCATGTATAACGTTCATAATCAGTATAAACAAAGATTAAAAAAGAAACTTAAGTACCAAAACTTTCTCTCACACAAAGTCTGCTCCTGCTTTCCTCTCTAATCTCAGACAAAACGTCTCCCCCTCTGTGCTTTAGATTTCTAAATGATGAAATGGGGTAAACAATGTTACTTCCCAGGTTTTTGAATAAAAATGCTTTGAAAACTCAGGTAGACATGGGACTGTGATGGCTAATTCTCCACCTGTTTTCTTCAGCAAATACTACAGCTATTCCGATTACGGACTCCAGCCTGTGTTTTCTAAAAGCCACGTGCATGTTGCTACACCGAAGATTACCTACTTTGTGCGGAGGCTCCTTATAAAAATAGGTCACTTCTCCAGCGTCTGTTCCCACAAGAGCCAAGAGGTTCTGAATCTTTTTCTTGTCTTCCAGCTCCCTGAAATTTTCACAGAAAGTAAGTACACATCATACATTCCAAGCAACCTTTTCTATTTAAAGGATCTCCCTTCTGATTTGTTTTTAAAACAACAGTAACCTGAAATTAAAATTGAATAGGATTCATCTAGACCTTTAAAACGGCAGGATTTCCATTCAGAGCGAAGGGGCCAAGAAATAACTTCTCAGCTGATTCTAGCAGGGGCTGTACTGGATGCCGAGGTGCGCAGCACTGGCCTTCCTCTTCGCGACTGAGGGGCTCATTCGCCAACCGCCATGAACGCGGCCTGCCGATGCCTCGCGGTTGCGTTTCTCTCCAGAACAGCTCTCAGCCAAGGGGAACTGCCTCGCTGAAGTTCGTGCCTCTCATTCCTCAGGGACACCCCACATCTAGCGCCTGGTCAATGAGGGGTACAAAAATCCAATCCCCGCACCCTAATTCTGGATCTCTGAAGGGCCATCCCCGCCTCAGAGCCCCTGTGGTGCTGGCCGAGGCCTGCTGTCCCTGAGTCACCACTGAGCTCTCCCTCTGCCCAGGGAGGCTTTACTTCCTCCCAGGTGATTGCTCCTCAGAGCCCTTCCCCACCCGCTTCCTGCGAGCATCTCCATTGCACGGTCTGTCTCCCAGAGAACCCAACCGAAGACAGCTGCTATCGGGACTGGACCAAGAAAGCAACTCTAAAAAGGGATTTCAGAACCAGTGATATGGAGACAGTTTATAGAGCTCGGTGTCCCTAGGAGCAAGATAGATGGGTAGTCAACAGGGTACAGCTTAAATCAGGGGTGGGGAAGCTTCATATCGAAAGGCCGCATTAATTTAGCTGTAATCAAATAAGGCTGCATTTAAGAAACTTCAATTAGATATACTTAAAAATAGCACATTATTTTATAAAATTCTAACTACTATGTAGTTAGTAATTTCAAAAAACAAAAACTATTTGTTAATTTTAAAGTTAACTAAACTTTTAATGACTTTGTTGTGTCTGCTTTTTGCTGGAAAGCATTTGAGTATTTGGTTGCAGCATGGAGATCAGCAGTTTCAGCTGATCTTCTAGATGGGTTTCAGTCATTTGTGACCTTAAGGGCCTCCTGATTTGGGTTAGGTAGGACAATGTAGACTCTCAGCAATAAGTGGTTGAAAAGCAAGGAAGCATGTTTTGGGCATGTTGCCGAAGGCATGGGTATTCTACTACATTTTTCCATATTTCAATTGGATCTTTCTTAGCATCAAACAATGACTTTAAAATGTCATCTGCTGAGAGCTCTATCAATTCCATCTGTAGTGCTTTAGGGGCCTTGGTGATACCAACTGAGGCCGAATGCTAATTTGAGTGTGACATCATGATTCTCAAAGTCAGTGAACCTTTTGTTGTATTTTCCAAATAAAAGGTCTGTAACAGCTGCATATTCTTCAAATGATTCTAACTGGGGGAAACATTCATCTGAAATTTCCTTTTGAAGAAGAAGTGTTCTGAAAACAGACAGCTTTTTTGAAATGCTTGGATTTTTTGCCACGTATCATATATAGACTTAGTTTTACCTTGTGAAGAAATATCCAGGTTGTTTTGATTCGACATGATATGATACAGAAATGTGCATTGCTATAGAAGTCTTCTTAATCTTCTTTCAGTAATTCACATTGCTGATTCCATTCTTCATAAAATTTAACTATGTTCTTACAGAGATAAAATTTTGGCCAACACCTGTTCCTGCAATAGCCAACACACTTTCGAATTATACCGCAAATCCACAGTGAATGCCTCATGTTACAAAACTGATGATGCCATGTTGCATTTGCACGAATATAGTTAACAATACTTATAACTTGTTGCAAAGTGTCACTTAAAATAGTAGCTTTAGCACAGAGATTTTGCTGATGCAAGATTCAATGAAAAGAAATGAGAGCATCTGGATCTGTTCATACTTTATCTGTGCAATAAACCCTTCATGTTTTCCCGTCATGGAAGGTGCAGTCTGTACATACACTCACTAAATTTATCAAATTCAGTCCAGCTTCATTACATTTATCTTGAAAGTCACTGAAGATATCTATTCCCTGTGTTCTGTACATAAGAGTGCGTAAAGCGAGTAACTCTTTGTAGCAAAGAAAATCTTCTGTGATGAAGTATAAAACGTGTGCCAAGTCAGTAGTATCAGTTGATTCATCCAAAGTGATTGAATAATACATATTTTCCTTCTGAAGTATTGCACGAAGGTGTTCTGTTAACTTGAAGGCTAATTCATGGTGCTGATCAGTTATGGTTCTTCTTGAAAGAGGCATTTGTTTGTACTTTGAAATGTTATCAGGGTCTAAGCATCCTACGATTCTGACAATGCATTCTTTCACAATTTCTACATCACTGAATGGTCTCCCTTTTTTCCCCCGAGTATACAAGCTACTTTATAAGTTGCTTCAGTGGCATTATTTCCAGGTCTTATTGCTGCTTGAAAGAATTGTCTTTGCTTTTGCTTTTCACCTTTTAATTTCTGTAATAAATTTCATGCCTCTCCCTCCAATTTAAAATATCTGTAGTCCTTGTGAGTGCTATAATGCTGATGAGCATGGAATTTCTTTAATGTTGATACTGCAGTATCACAAAGCAAGCAAATCATCTTATCTTTAGCAGAAAACAAGATAATACTACAATTCCCAATCCTCATTAAAAAATCTGTTTTCTTCCTTCAGCCTTCTCTTGGTCTTCTTTGACGTGATGGGCTGTTAAGCAGACAGAATTGAAAACACTGTCGAGCTGTGCAACTATCCACAAATTCCACTGCAAACAGAAACACAGCGCACTACTGCCAGGAGCTGACAGATGAATGGCGTGCTCGCACCCCACGAACTCTCACCAACCACCCTTGCGCGGTGGTGGCGCCAGTCAAGTGGGGAAGTTGGAACTAAAGCA